TTCTGTCAAACAATCGGTTGCAAGGAAATGGTTGCAGTCTTCTTGAAAGGCTTGATAGCGCAGACCCAGGTCATAAATACTTATAAGCAAATGCCACCATGCTACTTTTAATATGATCGTGCATTTCATAAATAATTCAGGCGCAGTGAGAGTCAAAATTCGTATTAGGAGGTTGTCGATAGACAATATTTCCTAAAAATCTCGACAGAGTAGCAAAATTTCGTACACATTTTCCGACAATGAGATGCTTCAGGGGGGCTGTAGCTTCCCTGACTTCAAGGAAAATACTTTACACAAATGTCATAACGTTTTCAGCTTATCTCAAACAAATATTAGCTCTCTTCTATATGAAAAAAGCGTTTAGAACATCTACTTCATAAAAGACTGTAACTGAAAGTCTCAGTCCTCCAGGTTATGATAATTTTGTTGATAAAAAGGGGATTCTGACTTTTTTGTCTGTAAAAACGATTTTTTGTAGTTTACAAAAGAAAACAAACAAGTAATGTTCTGTGGAGATTTCAACCTTGGATTGTCAAGGTACGAAGATCTACCTCCTGGTCCCGGCAAGATATACAATTATAGCGATTTTAAAATATTTTTGGTTATGGCATGATTTGTCTTCAATCTACTAATTCCTTTGGCTAAAAGATTTTACGATTTTTGCAAGAAAGTCACATCTTTGGCCATAATACCAAGAGGTTGCGAAAGCAACATTTGTTGATGTTAAGAATCAGTTGATGATGTTGATAAACTGAAATCGGTTCATAAAGCGTTCTACCATACTATGATTGAAGACAAAATAGTAGATTGAAGACAAATCATGCCATAACCGAAAATATTTTAAAATCGCTATAATTGTATATCTTGACGGGACCAGGTATAGCGGTACATTATTATATTCAAAATTTATAGGATTATAGTAGGGATAATACTGTAATGAAGTTCATAAATGCAAATAAAAGTTTGTCTGCCATGTAAACATGCAAAAACAAGAGTTCACTGGCCCCCTTTGGTCCGTTGCACCATCCTTTCTTGTACTTGATGGAAAGAGGGCATGGCCATGCAAAACAGTCACCCTTCTGCGAGATTTTCATCGTAAGACATTTCAAGACTTAATTTTACAATGTAAAATTAAAACCAATTTCAAATCCTTATGATTCATCTGGAACCTTCTATTTTTTGAAATTTTAAATCTTTACTCATTCTAGGTGCTTTCAATGCAGTTTAAAGAGAGTAAAATACAGCAAAGCAGAGTGAGGTTATAAACAGAACAATTAAACAGAAATGTCTTGACAAACTAGTAAATTAAGCATAGTTGATGAAGATGTAGTATACAAAGATTGTGACTTTATCAAATGTGAATCACATGAAACTTGATTTGCTCTCTACAGATCTACTTCTTGAACTCTTATTTGGTAGAAGGTCCTACAATATCCTTTATTAGGATCCTGAACAGATCATATACAGGATCCTGATTAGATCATATACAGGATCCTGATTAGATCCTATACAGGATCCTGATAAGATCATATATAGGATCCTGAACAGATCATATACAGGATCCTGACAAGATCATATATAGGATCCTGAACAGATCATATACAGGATCCTGATTAGATCATATACAGGATCCTGATTAGATCCTATACAGGATCTTAAAAATATCCTGTCCAAGACCCGAATCATTTCCTACAGGATCTTGATGAGATCCTATTCAGGACCCTGCACATATCCTATATAGGATCCTATACAGGATCCTGCAAGATTTTTCACTAAGGTTCAAGAAATACATAGGATCCTATTAAGATCTTTTAAGGAATACTTTTATTCTTATCAGGATCCTGTAAGATCTTATTAAGATCCTATAGGATCCTATAAGATCCTATAGGATCTTGTACAGAATCTTGAACAAGATCCTGTAGGATCCTTTACCAATATCCTGTGAGGATCCTGCGAGGATCCTATACAGGATCCTGCAAGATTTTTCACCGGGGATTATTGGAGGAAGGCAAAAATGGGGACGACCCCCCCTGGATGCCCTTAGAGTGCTTTATTTTACTTTGATATCACAATGTTAGTCAACATTAGAAACAAGGATGTTTATTCTCTTTGTAACTTTCATTCAGCCTTTTATAATTCATCAATTGGTTCCTGGAAATTTTCACAGGTGCAGGGGATCATCCTTTTTTGCGCATGTATGAAGGAATGGAAAAACTTGGAATAAAAGATAAAAAAGGTGTTGCTGGCCCTTTGGTCCGAAAGCAAACTACAGAAGAAGAGGACATGGCATTCTTTGAGAAGAGATACCAAGAAAGGGTACCCAATTTAAACTATTTCAAACAGTAGAACAGGAAGGTTAAAATATTAAGACAGGTTTAATCATTTTAACAATGGAAAAGAACACTTGCCTGTAAGTAGACTTTACAAGTAATCCCAGAGAAGATGAATTAAAACAAGATAAGGGTAAGAGATCAAGGGTCTCCAGGATTTTATGCCTTGCTGTAAATGAAACTTAGCTCACAGTCACTACTTTTGCAAATAAATTGAAGTTATGCAAGTCAGAGATCTATGGATATACAGCAAAACACTGTGCAAAATGTCATTTCTTCACAGTTATTTTTGATTCTGCATTTCTGAGTTTCTACCACAGAAAATTCTTTTACTTTACATTCAAAATTAACTTACAGACCAAATTGGTAATATATATATATTTCATTTTCCCTGGAACCTGGTAAAGTTTGGCATTGTTAAATTTTGCAGCTTCGACTTGAAAAAGAAAAAGCAAGAGAACAGGCACAAAAAGTTGCAGCTAGTCGAAGAGAGAGGGCCAATGCTGACAGAGCAAAGACAAAAGCACAACATAAAGGAAGTGCTGTTAAACGATAGCACAGTATAAAAGAGGACCCAAAGAAAGAAGTTTTCAGCATTCATATTTTGAAAAACAGTGTTGTCAACAAAAACAGCATTTCTATGCAATATTTAACCCAGTCAAACTGTTTCCAGATGATGTTATTGTAATGGCTATGGCAGTCATTATAATAATCATATCTGTTACATAATCAATTGTTTTAAAAATACGTTATGTTGATTAGTTTGAACCTGAATAATTCTTTAAGGGAACAAACCAAAGAAACAGAACCATATTTAAGATAGAATTTATTAATTTTAAAATTGGCTATAAGAATATGACTTTTTACAAAGAAAAATTATCAACAGCCCTTTGATTTGCTATGAAGCAAAGCCGCATAATTTACCTATGGTAACACAATATCTAACAAGTTGAGGAAAATCCTCCAAGGCATGTACTAACAATTTGCTGCTTTGCTTTGTTGCCAAAATAGCTTGAAGATGACCAAAGAGGATAGCATCTGCTTCAGTCGCACTGTAAGTCAAATAAAGCTCTATCAAATGTTAAATCAACCTTCTACAGCTTCTACAACACAGGGTTAGCAAAAAAAATTAATCTTACCTCAAGAGAAGACAGGTCTATGTAGAAAAATTTCATATGGCCAAAAAAATTTAATCCATAAAAGTTTAGATTAACATTAAGCAAGGGAGTGCTATTCAGTAACAACTTTAAATTCAGAGAGGTATCAAAAGATAATTAGACACTGCTAAATATGTTTAAGTGTTTACATTGCTAAATATTTTGTTAGTAGTTTAAGTGACCTAGTATACTGTAGTTGCATAATGTAGATAATTTTATATAACTTCACTTCATAGCTAAACTTTTTGTTCTTTGGTGTTTGCTATTCTACTTAAAATCAAGGCACAATTTGAATAAATGGATGTTAGTATGATGTATTTTTCATTAATGAATTTTCTAAACCTACTATCTCTACTTTCCCTTATTCTATACTGTAAAACAGGGTTCAAGAGGTTTGGTATGAAATGTACATATAACATACTGGTCTCCAGTAAGAAATACATTCTGATCCAGTTTCACTGATGCCACACTGAGAACTGTTATTAGTTCCTTCTCAACCTAGATGAATGAAAAGTTTACAGTGAGGTGCCAAAGGTTATGTTATCACCACTTTTTGATAAAGATTAATCTATATGCTTACACTAAATTTAAGCCCCGGTCAAACGAACCGAACATTGAACCCAACAGTTCAATGACACAGTAAGAGGGTTTTAGTGAGCACAATGTCAACAAAATCTCTCAATGTTTTCTTGGTGCGAAACTTGAATTCACCAAGCGAGCTAGGCATGCGCGAGTTGAGCAAAGTTCAGCTGGGTTGTCAAACGAACTGAGTATCAGTCAACGACACCCGGAACAAAATAAATGTTTAACGACTCTCTCAACATTTTTTATCGCTGTCAAACATCTCTGAGCAGAACTGAGCAAGACTGAGCATCGTTGAGCACAGCTATGGTCAAATAAACTGAACTTTTCACTAAGCAGACATGCCGAGTGTTGCTCAGTGAAATGTTAAGTTCGTTTGACCGGGGTTCTAAGTTTTTTATCAAACATACACAAAGTTGTGCAAAACGTTTTTTGAATAAGGTGGTATAAAGAAAGAAGATATGGAAAATCATTGTACAACCCACTTGAAAACCAGCACAAAATTTTAACCTAAAAATTTTGTATATAAAATAATTGAAACAAAATTTTCTATACAGAAATACTTGATCATAACAGAGACAGTCCTAGAACAATTTTTTAGGGGGGTGTCAAGTGAAGTCGAAAGTGAAGGGGACTTCTGCCCTGTTCACGTTGTCATTCTTGAACAAATTTCCTACACTTTAGCGCAAATAAAAATTTGAAAAATTTTTCCATTTATTTTGAAAGTTGGCTCTTTTTTAAACCCTCATTTTATCACCAACCTTGAAACATCATCTGAATAATATCTTAATAATAACAGTCTAAAGCAACATAAAATAAAAAAATTAAGCATTGGCTACTATTCATTCATTTTAGGCATAATCGTAATGTTGAGTTGGTTCTAACTGGCTTTAGTTTCCCAATTAACAGGTTGAAATGTTAACATGTTGAGGAGCGAAGAAGATCAAATGTACTTGAATTTAATGAAGAACAAAAAATTATTTAGGGGGGAGGGGAGGGGAAGTTGTAACCCCCCACACTGTGGATAAATTTGTCTCTGTTCATCATCGTTTGACAGTAATTTTGAGTTGAAAATACATAAAACACATACAGCTTATGTTTTAGAACTGACATCAACTTACATCTTCCTTTGTCTTTTTATCCCATCCCCTTGCCTTCAATAATGATTTGACTGCTGCTTCCTTTTTATGTGTAAGTAGATATTTTAATGGCTGGGGATACACAGATCCATATGTAGCCTTTGTCTAAAATGGGGAAATCCTAAAATTCTTATTGAAATTCAAATTTAGTAAAATGAAGCAACGCTTTACAATAGACAATAACTCTAATGAAAATTAAATAACATTGGCGAACAAATAGTGGAATTTACACCCTTAGCATAATTATTTGTTACAGATTTTAAGTGTGGTGAAGAATGTGTGGTGAAGTAGAAAGAGCTCTCTTGAAATCTCAGGAAGGTTTGGGTTTTGGAAACCGGTTACAGTCCTTTAGTCAC